GCTCTGTTCACAAGTAGTAATTCAAATAAGCACTTTATAAGAAACAAGAAATTTTAGGATGCACACACACAAAAATATATATATTGGGTCAATATTCACATATTTTTCATCCAATGGAATACTATTCAGAAATAAAGATTAAATATAAAGCATGTAAATACATGTGTGTGGTATGCATATTCATAGTTTGCTATTATTGTGTGCATACTCTTGCTGTTTTAGCATAAGTTGAAGCTGTGAGGGCAGATGATAAGAAAGTATCAGAATTTTTCATGTATAAGAAAAGATTGCCCCGAAAATAGTATCTCAATTGTTTAGCACTGACATTTACATAGCGCATTAGAAATATATAGTAATATATGTATAATAAAAAGATAATTGCATATTATTAATTCATTTTTTTTAAATGCCAAACTTTAACAATTCTTTCACATATAATTAAAGAGAATTCTTTCACATGAACATCTAAAATCCATTCTTAACTAAAGAATAAATAATAAAACCATGCAAATTTCTTATCAAGCCCATCATTTCCAAAATGTCTACTTCTGAAAGTTCCCAGCATTTCTCAATATATTATTAAATTTCTAAACTAAGCATCAATGATCGTCATGTTCGCTAATGTGGCAATATCTTTCACACTTCTTTGTTACCACAAGTAACAAGTAGGCTTCAATAAATCTTTAACTGTTACATGCTACTTTTGTGTAAAATTTGTACAAATAATAAAATTAAATGGGCTCTTTATAATATGCTCAAAGAAATAATTTTGTACGAAAATTTGTATGTTTATATATTGGCCTGATTAATGATTCAGGAAATAATTCGGGTTTTCAAAGTGCTTCCTAATAATTCAAATTTCAGCTTGTGTCAAAATAAAATCTATAACACAAAGATTTCCTTATGAACAATGCATTTTAACATTATTCAATCACTGGCAATCACACAGTACTGATTGCTTCAATAAACATTACTGTAACTGTGTTATTTAAAAAACTGTAATGTTTTAATTATTTCCTTAATTAAAACATTACAGTCTTTTCCTCCTTCTAACACCAAAAGAAAACCCAGATAAGAAATATAAAAATATCAGTAAAAATAAATTATATTATTGAATGACACTTTACATTAATTACACTTATGCATATATTATTTTATTATAAATTATTTCAAAATCAAAGAAGAGAAGGAGGAGAAACTTTAATATTGACATTTCTAAAATGATATAAACATTAATCATTTAGCACAATTTGTTATTTCAGGCAAAAAGAATTCACTTTTCTGGATAGCATTTATATTTCCATCTCACTTTCAATGAAACATTAAAAGAAATGCATATAACTTAAACACCAGTTTATTTTATTTATCAGACAGATTATGTCAACTCGAAAAAACCTATCAGTAAAATTCGGTAGTAATAATTCTGAATGTTAGGCAACTTGCAAGATTCAACAAAAATTATCAATACTTTTCCTATAATGACAATACTACAGTAACATGAACATAAAATTAAACTGCATATAACTATAAAATAAGCCAGCATATAATAATGGTGCATTGGTTTCTAAAACAATGGGCTCGATGAAAAAATACATGTATTATGGTAGCTATTCATATTCTTCAGCTTTCCTAATATTCTCATGTTCACTTTACATAACTAAAGTATCTAAAATACAATAAAAATGCAAACAATATTTATGAGAAAATGATTAAAAGCATTCATAAGCATTTGATTGAATGATCATATTTTGTCTTCCTGCAAGTCGAATCTTAAAATGATATGCAGTTTGAAAAATGCTTAATCCTTTTATAAAATATTCAAAAAAGATTAAAAAAAGGTACTGTTCTGTTATCAGGACCGGGTTCAGAAATGTATTTATGTATGCTTGTATATTTGTATGTTTGTGTGTCTACATATACACATCTATGCACATACTTACGAACACAGGTTCATACATTTCCGATTCTGGTCCCAATAACAGAACAGTACCCCCAAAAAAACTTGAATTACAAACTAGATTAAGATAATGTTTCAACCATACATATTTTGGACAAAACAATGCAAACTCTTATTTTTATACAATTGTTCAAACTATTTAACATAAATTTATTGCTGCAATAAAATAATAAGCAATCTGATCACACATATTATTTTGAAACTGAATGCATAAACTAGACTAAAAAAAATTCAGTCATAAACATTTGGATAGCAGGGCAAATTAGATATTTGAAAAGACAGCCAGCCATTGAGATACACGTAATTCACGACAGAATGGTAACAATTCATAAAGCTGTGAAACACTTTAACTGTCAAAATGACATAAATAACATAAATTCGAAAAGCAAAAAAAGTAAACATACAAGTATTGCAACTGAACTTACCTTTCATGCAACAAAAAATATCCATACAAGTTAAACCTCATGGCGCAGCCATTTTGGATTTCGTTTCAAATCAGACAGATGTTTACGGATTTGCGGAAGAATACGAGGAACTAGTAGTTTGCCGGATACAATGTGAAATGACGCGAAAGAATATAGTTCTGTAGAACTTCCTACATTATTCCATAATAAACAGTACTATTTCCTAATTTTTCTTTATCTAATTAATTAATTAATAGGGAAATAGTTAAATAACGCCGAATTCATTTTTAATGAAATGTAAAATTTTGCATGTATGGGACGACCACCTTCCATCCAATATTTCTGAGAATATAAACAAATTTTGGAATCTGAGAGTATCAGTAAATAAATATATAGAATATCGCCTCTCAAACGACCACTTCTGAAAGTGACCAATAGTTCTGAGATTATAAATAAATATTGATATTAAGCATTATTTCTATAAGACGACCATCTCTATATAAGACCAAAGTTTCTAGAATCTTGGATAGTCATCAGAGATGTATCTTTACTGCGAAATTATCGCACGACTGTAATTCAATATCAATAACAGATCGCGCGATTGAAAAACATTTTCTGTCCTGTAATTAGAGGGAAAAAATTTTCCTTATGAGGTATTTCTCCCGCTTTCCTAGCGTGCCTTCGTGGTGTAATAGTTCTGCACGCTGGGCCGGTATTTCAGAGGTCCGTGGTTCGATTCACGGCGAAGGCGGTTGCTAATTTTTCATCTCTACGGCTTCCCAAAAAACTTCCTGATGCCTCTACAGTGGCGCCCGAACTAAAAAGGTGTTGGATGAGGTATATCCACACCCAGGATTTAGTGATTGGATCCCCTTAAAAAAAAGTCGGCCTTTAAAAAGAGAAGTGAATATAAGGTATTTCTCCCCGCTTTCCTAGCGTGTCTTCGGCCCACCAGCGGCCGAGCGGTAAAGTCGCTGAACCCTGGTAGTGCGATCCGAGGTTCGAATCCCGCGAACGGGCTGGCTGCATGGGTGTTTTCGTGGTTTTCCCCACGTGTAACGTGTATACGAGCCACTTTCCCTTAGAAAGTCTTCCACGAAGACATCCCTCCCCTTAGGCAGATAGCCCTAGTGTGCTTTGCCATAATTAAATACACCACCACCACACCTAGCGTGTCTTCGTGGTGTAGTGGTTCTGCACACTGGGCCGGTATTCCAGAGGTCCGTCCTTCGATTCCCGGCGAAGGCAGTTGCTAATTTTTCATGTTTCCTGCTTCCAAAAAAATACCTAATGTCTCTATACCCAAATTAAAAAAAAAAATCGTTTCCGTAATTAAATATATATATATATCTAATTTTACCTATATTTGTAGTAGGGTTTGTAATCTGTAAGTAATTATACATGTAATTTATACATTTTTTATAAAAAAAATATGTTATTTAGAATTTTGCAAATATTCTAGAAAATGCTAATCCATTGAAAAAAATCTTTTCCATAACTAAATAAATTTTTAAAAACGTCAGAAAAAATAGCAGTTAAAATTAATAACAAAATAACAAGAATAAATCATCAATCATCAATATTTTTAATGTACAGCATTTAGAAACAACTTAGTAAAATACATATGGAAAATAAAATAATGTGCAAGTTTCAGATGTGCAATGTCAAAAAATTAAAACTGGTAAATTTGAGAACAAATATCCTCAAAATGTTTGACAACGAAAGTCCTCCGGACAATGCAGAATGAATGTCCTCAGGATGTGAAATTGGTGAACTCCTCAGGACATCTGAGAATCAACATCTTCAGGACATCCTGTCAATATCCCGGGACATAGCGACTTAAATAAGACATCCTCAGGATGTTAAATTACGACCTCCTCAGGACATCTGAGAATCAACCTCCTTAGGACATCCTAAGTATGTTCCGGGATATTGCGACTTAAATAGGACATCCTGAGGATGTTTTGTGCTATGGGGGAACCATCTAATGTACACACATAAATTTTAAAGCAAAAATGTCCACTCTGCTGTGAATGACATACATGGAAAATGCTCCCCACTCCACATTTCTGCATTTCAGGCCACTAGGCCAAAGTGAATACAGCCTTATACTTTTCTTGCCAATACACTAATATAAGATAGATTGCATAATGTAATTATGTAATAATGTAATTATGCAATCTACCTTATATTATGCTAAATAGAAGTTTATTGCCTTTAAATATGGGTCGATACACAAATATGGGTCGATACACATACACTCCATCATATACATATATATAATTTTAAAAAAATCACAAATTTTCTGCTGTAAGCATACTGCGCTTTACACACTTAAAAGTATGGAAGTAACCACTGTCATTAGTTAAGTGTTTAGCAGATTCACTGGCATTAACAAAAAAAGTTAAATCCTTAAACTTTATAGATGTGCAGTGTATGCTGAAAAAAGCAACAGGTGGATATGCAAGTAAATGTAACTTTCAATTTTGCAGCATTATATTGCAATATAATACAAGAAATCTCATGAGCACTGAAACAACAAAACTGATGACTGAACTCCCCAAAATTAAATAAAATAATCCTTTTAAATTTTAAAAGATGCTTGTTATGATCAAACAAATCAATTACTGTTATCTTACCAAAGCAACTTCTGGATCAACAATTCGCATAATAACTTGAGCTTGTAGTAGAGCATATGCTAACTGAGGATTCTGCAGCAACAAATTTCGTGCTTCTGTTGGATTGTTCTCAATACACATCTAAAGTTGAAACATAATACATATATACTAAATGGCAATCTGAAAATTTTCAGTTTACAATCTAAACCCTAAAGAAAAGTATACCATTAAATTTTCCTAATTAAAAAAAATATTTTTAAAAAAAATCACACAAATATTTTGTTTCTCTCCATAAAGAAAATATCTACAATCATCATAAACTTATCTTTTGAATAAAATTCAATTCAAAAATGATTTCAATTTAAAATCAAAGTTGAATATAAATCATAATAATATAAATAGAAAATATATTAAGGTATGGATAAAACTTAGATGAAAAAGTGAGAAAGAATATTACAATCTGCATAAAATGAGAAAATTTCATTTCATTTTATTCTGGATGCAGATAGCAATGTAAATCTAGAACTTTTAAAAGCAGGATTGCAGGATATTCAAAACGTACTTTTTTTATGATACTTCAAATGTAAAGTAACGCTTTTGACAAAACAGTAATTTTAAAACTGATTCATACCCTTATGCTACTGAGCAATAATTATAATATCAAAGACATATGATATTAATAATACAACTATTATATTAATAATACAACAAATATTATTAATACAACTTTTTAAAGGATTAGTCAACAACATACATCTTAAATTTTAATGATTAATTAAAGAGCTTATACTTCACCAAATGGCAATATTCTGTGAAAATGCTATAAGGGAAGGCACGTGAAAGTTTAATTAAGATCTTATTGTGGCGACACACTGCCTTTCTGTGGCAACCCTAAAGAATTCGTCTGTCACGAGGATCACGTGCCCAGATGCATCATACGTCTACGTCTGCTTTTCTGTTTGATAGTTAGTTGCATAAGATCTTGTAGAATTAGAAATGGCGTGAAATAAATGTTGGTGTTTTTAAAAAGTGTTGACTCAGATTTTCGAACCTATGATTTACTTGTTAAGCAACAAATTTGGCGAGCCTGCCAGGATTGATGTCACAGGGTGACATTATCGCTTTCGACACTTGATAATTTACGAAAATAAGAGAAGTTCCTAGGTGCAAACATGGATGATTTAGAAACACTAAAACAGAAGCAGAAAGCAATTAGGAGTGTATTTACGAAAACAGCTAATAAGTTAGAACTGATACGATCAGATTCTCCGAATTTGGACGATTTAAAAATTTATTTATATCAAATTTCAGAGAAGTATAAAACTTTAAGAAATACAGATGACTCTTTTTTGGAACTTCTACAGAAAAAAGGCTGTACTCAAGAAGAATATAAAAGAGAATTTAGTGCAGCTCAAGAATATTACGATAAATTATCTACGTTGAAAGTAAAAGCCAACAGGAAAAAGGATAAGTGTTCACAGCCTTCTACTGGTTCAACAAATAGCGGTTCTTCATCAGGAATAGTTATGGCCGCAAAACAGAAATTGCCAGAGATCGAACTGCTGAAGTTCGATGGAGACTCCCGAAAGTGGTTGACGTTTTGGACGAGGTTTAGTAAAATACACGAAGATACTCGCATCGACAAGAGAGACAAGTTTCATTATCTACTACAATCTACGAAACCTGAGACTGTGCCAAGAGCAATAGTGGAAAGTTTTCCTGCTACAGAAGAAAATTACGAAAAAGCCGTGGAGTACCTCAAAGAACAATTTGGAAATGAAAATGTTTTAATTTAAATTTATGTTAGAGAGCTATTAAAACTGGTAATCAATGAATGACAAACAAAAGTAGACTTATTAACTCTTTATGACAAGTTGCAAACTTAACTACGCGCATTGGAAACACTCGGTTTAACTAAAGATAAATTTACAGTTGTTTTATTTCCTTTAGTGGAATCAACACTTCCTGCTGATTTAATACAAATTTGGGAAAGACAACAAGGTATGTCACCTGAAACAGCAGGTAAGAGTGATTTGGAGTCATTAATTGATTTTCTAAAAAGGGAAGTAGAAACTGAATTTAGAGTTAAACTTACCCGTGATGTTTTGGGTTCTGATAAAGTAAGTAATAAGAAAAATAAGTTTTTTTAACACAAAACCTGTTGTTCCAACTACATGTGAACTAATTAATGCAAATTTGTCTGAAAGTTGTAAAGATGCATCTTTAATGAGTTTAGAATGTAAGAAAGATATCGTTAAGAAAAAGAATGTTTGTTTTGTGTGCCTTAAGAAAAACCATAGAGCAAATCAGTGCACAGCTAAACATAGGTGTACCTTATGTAAAAATTGACATTTTGTGATTATGTGCCCTGATTTGCCTTCTAACTGTTGAGATATTTGTAATCGCATTCTTACTGGTTAAAAGGAAGTATAGCTTTCTGTCAAGTCCGAAAACATTCATTAGCTTTCAGCCAGGTCCGAGTTATTCTGAAACTAAATCCCATTTCGCATGTTACTTTTGATTGGTTATTTATTGTGTCTTGTTTATGATTTGTTAAACCATGATCTGTTATAAAGTTATATATATGACCTTTGTAACCACTTATCGCTGCTTAGTATTTATACTTTATTTCAACCTTATTATGTGCATACTTGCCAACCTACAACACTAAAAAATTAGGAAATTTTTCTCAATGATAAAAATATGTTTTAATAATGAATTAACTTTAAATAATTTCCAATTAATTGCTGAAAGTTGTTACTAAATTCCTAAATGTAAACAGTTTAAATACTTGTATACACAAAAAAAAAAAAAAAAAAAAAAAAAAAAAAAAAAAAAAACACCCACTTTTGTTATTTGCATCTTTTAATCAAAAAATAGTACGTTACTCAGTTTTCGTATAAATGCCATGAACAGTGGCAGCTTTTGCTTTCATTAAGAAAGAAATTTCGTAATTTTGTTCATAGTAACTGCCATGTAGGCCAGCCTTTGCTATAAAAGTTTGTCTAATGTGTCATTACTAATATTAGACCTAAATTTAGTCTTCGTTTTCGAAACAACACTAAAAATTATCTCGCTTTCTGCATTACTATAGGGAATTGTTAGGATGGCCAACATTATTCTAGACAGTTCACTATACTCTAAAATTCCATGAGCACCTTTCAGTTTTACAGTTAAAATCCACTCGTGTCAATCCAAGCTGGTTTTATAAGTTTATCTAAGTTTTCTAACAGTAAATTGCAAAACTGTAACTGCAGTTTATCAATATCATCAAATTTCATGACTAAATGAAGAAAAACTGGAAATCTATTCAAAAAATATCTTATAACAGGAAAAGATGCATTTCAGCAGAAATATATGCAACTTTAGCATACTTTTGTCTTCCTCAGAAAGTTCTTCCACTATGTTAGTTGCAGCCCCTATTACCAAATATTCATCTTTCTTCTGATTTTCTATTTCGCCATAAATCATATATATAGAATTAGAAGTTGCAAAACATGAATGAATGGAATTCTGCTTTGTAGAACTGTGTTAAGAACACTGAACAATGACAGAATGAATTGTACAAAAAAGCAAAAAGCTTTCTTAAGGTCCGAAGATAAAAACATAAATATTCTTTCTTCACAAAATACAGAAATTGGATTTTTTTTTTTTTTTTTTTTTGAGCAATTTTTCTATTTTGAGCTAAATTTGTATCAGCTTTACACTTTTATTTTGTAGCATTATTTTGAGAACTGCCACTTAAATTGCTCACTGGAACAGAAATTATTTTTCTCAAACCTATTTTTAACAATGGAAGTAGTAAACTACATCTCCATTTACATTAGGTATTTTATAACTTTCAATAGAGCCTTTTAGCTTAAATCTAGAAGCATTTGCTTCTTCCAAAAAAAAAAAAAAAAAAAAAAAAAAAAAAAAAAAATGCAAGAGGTAGGTTCCAATGAAGATTCAATATCAACAATGATTCTTAAATAACCACACTTATTGGTAAAGAAGCTGCTCTTTTTTTTATCTGCTTAATTTAATAGGTGACAGGAGCATCTCATAATTTGCGAATCTGATTTTTCCTTTTTTAAGATGCCTGCAACACCAGTCTTCAAGTCTAACATTACTGGTGCATTAACGGCACCAAGTGCTAAGCAATTATCAAGAGGAATTGCATCTTCTTTTAAAGTTTTATTAATTAGCTCTGCCATATTAAAGGCTGTTGAAAGTGGAGACAGAAAGTAAACTACACTTAATTTCTGAGGACACTGGTTTAAAAAAAGAAACAACATTTGGATATAGTTTTGAATTGGTATTATTGCTTCCATCCACAGAAAGGCAGAATGGAATTGTTGTAATGCAAACACTAACTGAAGACTTATTTTTCATACCCATTTCTTTAACAATTGCAGCCATTCTGGTCCTGCACTTGAGTATTTCTTAGCGATTTAGGTGTAGCAGGATCTGATGCATTCAGTGGCAGGTTATTATGCTCCAGTAAAAAGGCAGAGAATACACATTCTGGATTAATAACTTTTTGGTCCTTTCTTTCCACAGAAAATTTTAATTTTTCTTTGTTTCAAAACATTCATCTTGTCCTTGTTTTCCTTGTTTTTTTTTTTTTTTTTTTTTTTTTTTTGTGTGTGTGTGTATGCACATGTTTGAGAACATCAGCCTTTCCCCATACGAAATTGAAAAATCACAATGACAAACTGCACACATCACAAATGTATTATATTTACTTGAGGAAATAATGGAAGGAAAGTCATCTGTGTACAATTTTTGAAAAGTACATGAGTATTTTAACTTTTTTTGCAGACATAACTAAAATAAAAGACCATAATTTCTTAAACTATTTCTCAAAAGCATGTGCACTCACACTGCTCAATGACGAGATGAACAAAATAACAACCTCGATCTTGCTTTGTGCTCATTGGTTAATATATTGTTACGAAATGTACAGGCGCGGTAAGACGGCTTCCCCGCAAAGCAGTTTTAGAGTTGCCATAAAATGGCAAAGAAAGGCTGGGTTGCCACATTTGGCAGGAAATTGCTCATTTGGCGACGAAATTGGCAATATGCCATGGACGGATGGAGAACCTTCTGGAACAAATTCTTACCGGTTTAGCCCAGAATGTTCTCGAACACAAGCCGAAAGCTATATAAACCTTGCTGGTCCGCAGTCAGGGAGTGTCTTAGAGAGTGCGAGTGTGTGCCTCGTCTAGCGAGCTGATAGTCAGTCATTGAGCGAGCGTCTTGAAGTCTAGCGCCAAGTTGGTCGTCGAGTGCATCAAGAGAGTCTGTTAGTGTATCGCAGTTAGTGAATTGTCGAGATAGCATGTTGAGCTCCGGCAACGATTGAACCCAAGAGTCGGGAGCTGTGCTCGTGTGTCGTCGAGTGCATCACGAGTTGTAGCATGGAGAGTTTCGAGAGTATGAGAACAACCAAGCAGAGTCCGGAGCTGTACTCTAGTGCTTGCAGGAAACTGTCTCCACCATTATAGCCTGACTACCTGAAGGCTGTGTCGCTGATTGTGTCAGCGTGTTTATAGTAGTTCATCGATGACTGTAAAACATGTTTTAGATCTGTCCTGACAATACTGGCTAATAAAGTGTGTTTGGATACTTCATCAAGTAGCATCGTCATTATTCACTCCAAATCCATACGAATGTGAAGGAAGAAAATAATGTAACAACTGGTGCCAGAAAAGAAAAACGCAACAATATATATGGAGTTCGATGCTCATAGTAGAACTGGAACATGACATTTTTGGTCATGTGCTCTAACTCACAAAGCAAAAGCATGCTATAATTTCTCGTTAATGAAACAACTTTGGCTTTATTTTATATGTAACTAGAAAAAAAAAAAGTGCTTTCAAATGGCCAAAATCACTTTTTTTAATGCAAATAATAAAGTATTAAGCCAAGCTACATAAAAATCATGAGAAACTTTAATAATAAGTTCGGAGAAATATACTGTAAATCGAGTTGGTGGGAGAATAGTCAGAAATCGGAAAGCTTTTACCTAAATTGGGAGAGTTTGCAACTCTGTAAGTGATTTGATCTTTCACTTGATGACTTACTTCAGTTTAAAAATTTCATTCTAAAATATTTTAATAACATTAACTGCCTTACTCATCACAATACAAGATGTATTTCTGTTGACTTCATATACACGTGGGCAGGACTTTGGCAATTTGATAATAATATCCGAATCCTCACATTAAGCGGCCCCTACTATACATAAAATATAAGATTTCATATTCACAGAATCCTTCAACAAACAGCATTGAAACTATTATTAAACTCTCTACCTTACTTCAACAGACTAGGTGTAGATCAATATTTAAGGAATTAAACTTGAACACAGCTTTCGAGAATACCATGTATACTTATTTAATACAAATAGGTAACAATAACTGGTAGACTCCCATAACTTTCTAAATGAACACATTTTTTTAAAATAAAGTAAAATGTGTAACATTATTCACTTTTTATAATAGTTTAATGTAAAATAAAAGACATAAATATGAAATATATTCATTTCTTTTCAAATAATGACAACATTCTAGATATTATAATGATTAAGAGGCATAAACTAACAACAGTTATAAAAAGAAATTAAGTTTTTACTATAAAAAAGCACACAAAATAATCTGTCAATTTAAGATATAAAATTAATTACCTTCATTTGCTTCATTAGTTCAAACATTTGTTCAGCTGGAAGACTGGCTACAGCTTTAGAGATCTCTTCTGGAGCTTTCTCTGAAGTTGCATCTGTGGAAGTCTATTACAAAACACCATTTAAATTTATTTTCTATTTTTCAACAAAACTGAGCATTTGGATTAAATATGCTGCTTTGCCATACCGGATTTTAAAATTATAACAATTAAAAAAACAAAAGGGGGAAACTGACTTTCAGATATTCAGAAAAATAGCACATAAAGTATTTAATGAATACAATAACTGAAAAGTAGTACAACAACCGAGATCTGATATTATAAAAATCTGAAAATTAAGCTTAAAAAAGAAATAATTATGATAAAACACAACAATTTTACTTTTTCAGTTATTGTACTTCTTCATTATTGTTATTGTAACATCTTTTCACACTACTATTTTTATAATAATATTTAATTACATTTATTTCACTGTCTTATGTTAATTTCCTTATTATTTATCATGATCCTTTGTGCATTATTTAGTTCACTGCTTTGCATATTAGATAAAAATATGCTTGTATTTTAAAACTGATATTACAGTTTGAGTAAATAAGACTTCTCAAAATTATTCTGCATACACATATATACACTGTAAAGTCATTACATGGCTTTCTTTTCACAACTGTTGGTTGTAGACATATACTTCTAATTACAAAATGTTTCAAATGTTGCAGAGATTCATGTTTTAGCATTTTTTAATTTAAAGAAATCAGTTTTGTAAAAATTACAAAATCTAACTTTATACACATTCTCTGGTTCTATATTTAGGAAACGTTTGTACATGAAATAAAAAATAAAATAAGAAAAGTTTGACTCGCATACAACAAAAATTGACTGAGTTGTTTATCTTAAAATTAGCGATACTTGACATTTTGAATTTTCATTCTTAATAAATAAATTAGAATAATTCAACTTTGATATTTTTTCCTTTAAACTCCATTCAGTGATATACTTTTATGATTTACCAGTGTCTTTAATTTATAATTTTGTTTCAACTGGTATGACAAAAGAATTTTCAAAGATTCAGTGAATAAGATCTCCATTTTGAAAAAAATTATATTGATCAATATTTTTCACATTATTACGTATAGAAATGCTCATGATGCAATCCTGTAAAATTAAAAACATTTTTCTAAATGGTATTTTATTTTTAGTTATGAGCAAATACAAACATTTTGCACTTCAATTTGTATTTTGATTATGATTCGAAAAATTTATTATCACATTTTATTGATGAATTTTTGTTATATGGCTTAAAACCTTTTATATTTTTCTTTTTATTATGAATACAAAATGTTTTTAAATATAAGTATAGGAACTAGAGAAGCACGTAAAGAGTTACGTTTCATAATTTCACCAAATAAATTTCTTTACATTTAAAAATGTATGTCGAGAAATCATTCTTTGAAACTCAATTTAATTGATTTGTTTACAGAGAAGTTCATTTCTATGGATTTAGATTTCTACAGACAATCAATCAGTTACAGTAAAATTTTCATCACTGTGCAGATAAAAACGTTCTCAGAGTTTTCAAAATCTGTACACAATGGCCACATAGTCTGAATTTTATTTTCATCCTAAATGTTTACATTGAGGAAAGACAGAAATAGCAAAATAGCAAAACTAAGGAAATTTTATAAATTTGGGGGTGAATTTAAAAACCAAAATTCATTTCCAAAAAGTGTTAAGGACTTTTAAGAACTGTAAACCTGCCATACTGCTATGAATATTTGACACTAGTTACTATTTAATTACCTTAAAATACTAAAAACATCTCACTAAAATTTGAAACCTATTGAACATACCCAGCAAACACATGCTGCATAAAATTTAAAAACCAAATGCTTCATTAAAATAGCTATTGAGAATATTGCCACATGTCACCTGATGCAGGAAAGAAAAACTACTCATTTTACCATAAAGACCTGATAAGAGCAACATGCCAGAACATTTGTTTTGTCATGTAATTAGCAATAGTTATTTTGGTACTATTGAATTTTGAGGACCGTAAAAAAATTGCAGTGAAAATGAATGCGCAAAAGCGCCAAATCTAGCAGACGCGCCCATTTAACAGTGCACCAAATCTAGCGTACGCACTAATTTCAGATTGCGTAGTTTATATAATTCTATATTTCTTAAGATGCCATTGAAATACTAGTTTCATTTTAAATCCTTTTTTGATATCCTATGGATTTAACAATTTGGGAATCACCTGTGATGAAAAGTCGTCAATAGAATTTTGAGTAAAGTGCAGAATCACCCACTACTTAACGCATTTATAAGAACTGCACATACTCGGTATCCACGTACACATCGACTTATTTTCACTTAAAAAAAAATCCCAGAATTGCACAAAAATGGCACTGCGCACACCCTTGACTATCTAGCAAGGGTTTTATACCCTTGACTATTTATCAAGAACTATCAAGGGTATCGTTTTTAAGTGAAAATAGGTCGATGTGTACATGATCATCTATGTACACATCAACCTATTTTCACTTAAAAAGTAAAAGAAAATTAACAAAAATCCAATTCTACCCTTGTAAAAAGCGGCAAACAAATAAGTGGGCGATTCTGCACTTTACCAAGAATTTTTTTATAGAAAAGGCATCATTCATTATAGAAAATTATGTTTGAACAACCAACGAGATGAAATTATGCTTTAGCGATAACTCAGTAGCGAAATAGTGATGCAGGCATCCATTCAGTTATGTTTAGCAATTTTTATATAAATTATAATAATTAAAAAGTATTATACGAAATTAACCTTTCATTTAAATTAAAACATCAATCTTAGATAGTTATTTACTATTATACTTCCTTTCTTGCGTTAGAGTTGCCGCAATTATTTTTGGCAGCACTGGCATCAACAAATAGTTTGGCGATTTTTTACGGCCTTCAAAACCAAATAGTACAGTTATTATTTTTTTTTTTTTTCTGTTTGTTTAGTTACATTTACCTATTTAGTTTTAACTTAGCAGATATACATTTCTGGTCTACTGAGCCAGAGACGTGAATCAACATATTAGATTTACAGGAGGGGGGAATTGAAAACTAAAACAATTAGAAAGGAAAAAGCACTTGCGATGATCAAAATTAGAAATCCGAGAAGCATTAAAAATTTGATATTGTGATGCTTCAAAGTTAGAAATAAAAAAGAAGCCATTGATGAAGAACTGGTTAAAATGAAAGAGAAAACAGAAATTTGGGAGATAAGAATTGATAAAATGCTATTGTGTCTATTCAATGTTCTAAGTATCGAAATGAATTTAATCAATTTGATTTTGTGAAAATTCTTTTACTGTACTTACCA